GGAGGAGCACACAGACACCGAGGAAGTCCCCCAGAACTTCAACACCTGTCCGACTGATTGCTTCAACACAATTGGTAGACTACCACTGAGGAACTCGGCACTTACATGGGTACGGATGTGGCACAGGTGAGCATGATTGCAGCTCCCGCTCGTTCACTCCGGCCAAGTCCCTAAAAACATATAACATAACTTCACCCTGCGATCTAGCTACAGAAGCGCTCGGGCAAAAACGTAGTTGATGCCTGGCTCCCTGATAACGGCTGCCCCCTGAAATGAAAGTGTTATAGAAACACCATGGTGTCTATATAAGTCCCGAAACGTCAAAGACTGAACTAATGGCAATTCAACCGTATAAGACGGAATCTTGATCGGTCACATTATGTTCCGCTCCGTCCGTTTCGGGGAGCGGTGCCCACCGTTTTAGGTTGGCGAAGCCATCACGAAAAAGGCCGCCTCCGCTCCATCTAGATGATTACAGTGAGGGCTGGAGTAGTAGTCGGGTCGGTGACGACCGGCGAATGCCCGGTGTTGTATGTTTTTTTGAGCTTTTTATTTTGTTTGTCTTTCTGCTGTCCCGCTGGTCGGTCGGCAACGATGGACGTTTTGGCTGCGACCCCGCTGAGGCTGAGGGGGTACCAGCGGACGTGTTGGGCGCCACCTGAACATCCCTGCAAGCAAGGGAGAATCCGACATATCTAGCACTATGCAGAGAACCTAGAAGCTCCCACATCTGTGGTAGCGCTTGGAAGCCCCTAACAATACTTGTCCACGGCCACCGGCCTCGTTGATTTTCTCTAAGTAAGGGATGATGTGAGAAGGCGTTGATGCTTGTGGGGAAAAGACAAGACACAACAAGAGAAACCAAGCGGGGCTGAATTGAGACTCACGGCTTTCCTTCAATTGCCTTGCGACGATGAAGGGCTCGGGCACAACGTGACGTGATGTGAGGGCGGCTGAGACGCGCCGCGACGCCATGACGATACGCAGACACATGTGACCTATGTTGCGTCAGGTCGAAAAACTGGGTCGACCACCCAGCCGTGTTATCGCAGTGCGTCTTGACTGTCGATGTATGCATCGTGCCAGCTTAGGAAGGTCCAGTCAAAGGAAGATTTGACCTACTTAAGACGTGTTCTGCCTTGGGCGGAATTACTGAGAATGTGGCGATCAGGCCGTAATTGGGCTTTGCTCGAGGCGACCAACTTGCCAGCGAACCATGCATCAGGCAACTGAAGGATTGCATCATAACTATTGCATAACACGCTCATAAGGTGTACCCAAGGGACTGTTTTAGCCCTCGATATCTCTCAAGTTCTCAACTTTACTGTTCTTATTGAAATCTATTCAGGCTACGGCATTCTGGACCGCATCATTAATCTTCAAATCAATTTCGATTTTGTTCCACTAGCGGCACGGGAATGTCCGACACGATCCACCCCGCCCTCAACTGGTTGCGTCTGGCAAACGATGAACCATCAGACGTCGTATTTGGATGTCTCGCCGCCATTATCAGCAGCACATTCCTGGCACTACATCTCAACGTCTCGCCGCCACATCCTGAGAGCCAATCCACCTTCTTCCTCCGGCGATGGTGGGATGCCGCCCCAAATCGACAGCTTCGGCGCCAACTAGTATGGACAGGCATGGTTGTGTTTGCCCCAGAACTTCTCGTAAGCATGGCGTTTGGGACGTGGCGAGCGTCATCCATTGGCGCCGAAGTCTTTCGCTCAGGTCATGGAAACATACAGACCTGGGGTAAGAGGCACGCTTGCTTCGCGAACATGGGCGGAATAGAGTTCAAGTTTCAGAAAGACGGCGACAACATTCCGGAATCTCATGACCGTCAGTTTCTTATTCATTTGGCAAATAGCAGAGCGAGGGAGAATTCGACGCTGCGGAAGATCGCGGTTGTTTTCCATCATAAGACGGAAGTGCTACGGACATGGCCGGAAAAGGCATATTGGGCCGTCATAGCGACCTTCCAGTATTTGGCTCAACCTTTCTTAAGAATAATGCGATATCCCGCAGGTGAACCGGCACGGGCTGAAAGAGAGCCCGACGGCCCTCTGCAAGCCCCAGAAACATCAATTGAGCTCTCGGAAATGGATACTCGCGCTGTCGCTGCGTCGTCCCGGCATCAGGAAACAGCAGCAGCAACCGCTACCAACATATATCCTAGAATGGGCGAGTCTCCAGCCGGACCGTCGAACGTTCACAGGGAATCAACAGACCTGGGGCTAGTGAACCTCACTGATGTTGCCAGCTCCGAAGGCAGGCCTGATAATACTGTGTATGCTCGACAGGATGAGGCTATTATTTCAGAGCCAGACCCATTCAGTCAGGACCTTGCCCCGCAGGACAGAAACAGCCAATCTGCCTGTCGCTCTAACACCACCGATACGGTAACTCTCTACTTGAACGCCATACAAATCATCGCTGCTCAGAATCTTTGTCTTTTGGACGAAGGTCCATCAATCAGCGAGGAGGATATAAAAGACAAAGACAAGACAAGTGCCTATGCTAGGGGTCTGGTAATCTTCCAGCTTGTCTGGTTCGCGATGAGGAATATTACGCAGCTTTGCCTCGGTCAGTCTCCCGCCCAAATCGAGCTCGCAACGTTGACGTACTTCTTGTGCGCCTTGATGGCCTACGCCATGTTTTGGAACCAGCCTCAGGGGGTCGAAAGGCCGATACAACACATTGTTAGAGCGTCTCCGATTAAGGGGACTCGCCCAGTGACCGATGAGGATATTCACTGGCTCAGCTTCTATAGCGGGTCCCCTTTCCTTGAACGCAACTTCGTTCCGCCATTCGGCATGGGCAGCACGGGATTCGACGCCACTAAACTTCCGCCTTCTGACTTATCGCTCACCTGCTTCACTACATTCGGAGGCGTCCTGCTGATGGATGACGACGTCGCGGGCATCATTGTGGGCATGATATTCGGAGCCCTCTACTGTCTTGGCTGGAACCACTCCTTCTCTTCAAAGATGGAGCTATGGGCATGGCGTGCATCCGCCATTGTTATCACGGGTTCCCTAGTACCCTTCGCTCTCGCCAATGCCCTATGCTCAATATCTGCCCTCCATTACCAGGCAGATCGAGTGCGGCCATCAACGCATTCTACACACATTTTATCACTCTACATGTTACTAGTTTTGTACATTCTTTGCCGGGGATTCATGCTTGTAATTATGGTAAGGGTGCTCTGGCTATAAACCTTTAAGGTGTTATCGTTATCGTTATTCGTTGCCAGTAAACCATGAGCATGTAAGCCAGGCGCAGCAAGGGGAAGTTAATGCGGAAAGTAACGGTGGGCGATGACGGTGGGAGGCGACGGTATGAGAAGGTAGGTATGGTGTGGCTTTACAACGGAAGTCACATGTTGGCTTGGACGCAGCTCAATAATTGGTGGGGCAGCCTTCGGACGCATCGATTTAGGTGCGTCCGAAGAAAATGGAAGTCGCAGGCAGGCAGGCAGGCAGGCAGGCAGTGGCTTCCGTTGACGCTGCGGTGCCACGAGGGAAGGCACCCACCCTGACGACTGATGACTGGGACTCTCCACCCATCAGGGTGCCTCACAGAAGCCAATAGGGAGCAACCGCCACCATGTCCCTCCCCCCCCAAAATGTCACTGAGCATCCAACGCCATCCCACCTGGGCAGAACATCCGCTCGGGTGGGATGGCACCGCGCCACTCAACGTGCCTGGAGCAACCAAGAGAGGACGAATACCCGACCATCATCGATACATTGGCGACAACACAGAGACTTTTCATTGGCTACCAACGAGAGCAAATGTCCCCTATCGTCTGACATGAAGCTGCGCGAGTCTGGCAGAACCCAAGTCCATCCCATCCCCCAAGCTGCCCGCCCGAATGCTGACCAAAAAGCAGTCTACACCTATCAGAAGCCAGACAAAGAACCACAACCGCCTCTCGTGTGGCTGGAGGAGCCGCATTGAGTGCACACCTTGTCACAGTCCACTGAGGCATGTTCCCGACCACCGCACCACATGCATTTGCGACCAGGCGTCAGAGGCGACGTGGAGGACGATGGCGACGCATGAACGCGGATCGGCAACCGAGGAGCCAGGGACGCGTATCGCTTCACAGCTGCAGGTGCTCGAGATGCTGCGAGGGTCGAGGGGGAACGCGCCGTCGTCATCGCTGGCCGCAGTCCGGGCGTGGGAGGAGGAGGCGACATGTTGGGCTGGAAAGGTGACGGCTCAGGTCTCGTCGCGACCGTTGCGGGGGCGGCGGGCTTCTCGTTTGCTAGCTCCACGGAGTGGCCAAACGTCTTGAGCACAGTATTCTTTGGTTGTTTTGCGTCTTCAGCGTTGGCGGGGATGGCATTCCGGGGAAGGTGGTCGAGGGTCTGGCTGTTGGCGTCACCGGTCGTTGAGAGGTCCGTCAAGGAGGAGTCGGTCAAAGGGACATTCGCCGGGCGGAGTTTCTTCGAGAAGTTGGTCGAAGAGAGGTCTGTCGAAGAGAGGTTCGTCGAGGAAAGGCTCTTCGCAGAGAGGTCCGTCGGAGACAAGTTCTTCGAAAAGTCGCCTGGAGAGATGCTCGCCGAGGAGGGATCTTTCAAAAGGTCGGTTGAAGAGCGGGTGTTCGAGGAGAAGTCGGTCGAAGGGAGGCTCGCCGAGGAAAGGGTTTTCACCTTGCTGGGAGAGATGGACAACGGTATCAGATCGGTGTCTGCATGACACTCGCATAGCTGCACGGTAAAGCTCACGGCCAAGATGTGCCGAGCGGCCAACGCTCTTCTTTTTCAGAGCCGGAAATATCGTCGTCTGCTTGGGCTTGGGAGACGCAGGGTGCTCCGGCTCGGCGCGAGCATGCTCAGCGTCCTCCTGCTGCGTCTCTGGTCGCTGCTTGATCGTGAGCGACGGGCCAATGTCGGAGCAAACAGAGGATTCTCTCGCATAGGCCTGGCCCGCAGGAGACTCAGGTCGGGGTCGCGTCGGAGAAGGTAGCTTGTCGACCGCTTTACGGCTTGATGACGCTGTTGGCTGATCATAGCCAGGCATGTTTTCGATGGCGCCGCAAACGCATCATTGTCCGCACGCTGGTCGAGTTCAAGTTCGACCCGTCATCGCCGCCGTCCGCCAACAGCCCCGGGACCAACACCAGCATGCAGGACTGGCTCTGGCATCTCTGCGATCTCCGACCGTACCCCGATCTCGACAAGTTCCGCCCAGGCTTCGAGGAGATGATCCTGCACATCGGGCGGGAGCTCAAGAAGAACGGCGACGAGGGCGACCCCGTCGCGCGGGCCAAGGCGGCGCCCGGGGGCGAGTGGACCGCCGATCCGGTCGCGGCGTACAGGTGGTGGAAGGCGGGCTGCGTGCGACGGGCCAAGGAGCGCAAGGGCAAGGCTTTTGTCGACGGCGGTGGTGGTGGCGACCGGGAAGACCGTCATCGTCACGGCAGCAGCAGCGTCAAGGATGGCCATCACAGTGATGTTGTCGTTGCTGCTGCTCCTCCTCCACCTCCTCCGCAGCTGCTCTCCTCCGCTGCGATCCACACCCTGAGCCAGCTCCGCGAGCTAGGTATCCAGATTGCCGAGGCGTCCAACAAGAAACGCGAGGCCGTCGCGGCCCAGGCAGCGCGGGACGCGACGGAGGTGCGGTTGCTGGCGTGCCGGAAGCGCGTGGACCAGCTGCAGCGTCGTGTCAGCCGAAGCGATGGATCGCCGAGACCGCCGGTCCCTGAGCTGCTCGTCGAGAAGGTCGAGAGCGCCTCGTTGGCTTTGCAGGAGCACGAGGCAAAGCTGGCGGTGGTGATACCGGAGGCTGTCGCCAGCGCCGCGGCGTTGGCGCAGAGCAAGGAGCTGGAGCATCTCGTGCGAGTGAGTGGCGCCGGCGAGAGGCAGTAAGCAAGAATACGGGACAAGAGTTTGCTTGGAGTGTTTGCAGAAATGAATGCTATTTAACTTGTGATATGCATGTTCGCCGTGTCTTTCCCCCTTGTGTTATGGAACAACAGCTCCCTGTAAAACTTTATCGCGACACCAAGTAAACCTCTATCAACCTGCTCGGAGACGTCCGAGCCGATCATCAAGCCCGGTCTGCTTCCGTCCGCCTTGGTCATGATGACGAGCCTGTCCGTGGTGTTCGGGGACGGTACCGGTATGGGTGTTCGGCAGCGCGGTCGACGGACCCAGCGCAGCGGTTGTAGTGGCGGCGAGACCCGAAAAAAATGCCGACTGGCGCGGACCGGACTGTGTAGTCGGGGGCGACGGAACAGGAGGCTCGAGGATGTTCGTCGTTGTTGTCGTCTGATCGGGGACCGTGACCTCGGCAGCCAGTTTGTCAACGGTGGCAAGCTCTGGAACCCAACCCAGACCCGTCAGCGTTGCATCACGCGAGGAATTGTCTGTCAACAGAGATCAACACACCCTTCTTCCGCGCCTCAATCTCCGTCCGCTGCTCGCGGATCTTGGCCCGGTGGTCTTTAGCGCTGGAATGGGCCCATGATCTGAAGAATGCCTTGGGATCCTGCCACTGGAGCTCCTCCTCTGTGTCCGAGAACACGACGCGTTCAGTCTCGTCGGCTTGATCGTGGTCGCCCGTTCGTTGAGCGGAGGCTGCCCACTTCACGTCGGCGAGTTCGCCGGCATCGAGCTTGGCGATGAGCGCTTGGTATGCCGTCTCGTCGGTGTCCTTGAGGTGCTTCAGGTACATGAGCCAGGCGCGCGGGCGCGCATCCCAATCGACGGGAGGGACCACGGGGTGTGGTGGATCTTTGGGATAAAAGGCCTTGAATGCGGCTGGCGGAAAGGAGGTGGTTGTGATGAGGATGGAAAAGTGCCACGAGATCGGGGGCAGAGACGGGTACCTGCACGACGGAGCGGGCTCTCTTCCTCCGGCCACACACGCTGCAAGAATGCCTGCTGCATAAGAACATTCGACACGGATTCCAATCACGGGGTAAAAGTCTCCAAACATGTGAATCCGTAAATTGCAATACATAACATGACCTATCCAGCAGCAGTTCTCCTGCGTTCCAAGGACCACCAAGTCCGCTAGCTGATCGAGGTTTTCCAGCCGCCTAAGAGCCAGTCATGACGAGATGGTCCAACTGCTGCGTCAACAGGTGGACATCTGCAGTGCCGTTCTTACCCTCTTCCAGACCCAGACCCTCAACTCTGACAATCACATCGCCATTACCGACCGCGAGGGCGGCCCGCAACTCGGTGACGCCCAGCTGAGCCTCTCTAAGACGGTGCGACAGCTCCTGTCTGTCATGTCTGTCCTGACCTGGCCGCTGCACCTCGCATGCTTGTCCCCGGCAGAGCGAATCCAGCTCCTGCACAAGCGGCGCGACGCTGTCCATCCGCTGGCCCATGAATATGGCGCGTTGGATCGATTCAAGAATGCTGACCATGTCGGACTCGCGCTCAGAGATCATGACCAACTGAATCTCCTTGACACTGGCGATAAGCCCGTCAAGACGCTCGCGGCTGGCTTCAAGCTGGTCAGAATGGGCCGTGTCGCCATGGTCCTCGAGTTGCGACACCTTGGGCCGTGGGGTTTCTGGCGGAGAGGGAAGCGCGCCAACCGGGACAGTCTGAGAAGGAGTACGAGGCGGCGTATGAGGCGACGGCGGATCGGGCCGGGTTGGTGGCGGTGGGGGCGGCGGCGGCTGCGGTCTTGCAGGAACCAGGGGGGACTGTCTGCGTAGCCATTGACCCACTCCACCGGAATCGCTAGTGCCGTGGGCCAGACGCCGCCGAGAGGTGTGAGCGACGCTCGCAGACTCTGACGGGTGAATCGACGACCGCCCGTCATGAAGGTCAAGGGTCGGGTGAGAGTTGAAGCGAGAGGCGGCGATACCACGCTTGGGAGACGGGAGTTGCAGCGTTGGCCGAAAGGTTGACGTCGACACGCCGCTCGAGGGGAGCGCATGCTCGGGAGAAGATAGGAGCCGCAGCGTCGGCGCAAAGGTCGAGGCGGATAGGCCGCTTGACGAAATCGTGGATTTGTGCGGCTGGGCCGTTGGAGGCGCGGATGGCAGGCGAAGTGTCGGCTCAAAGGTCGACGTAGAGAGGCCACTGGACGACAAATTCGTTCCCCTCGAAGACTGGGCCGGGGCAGGAACTCGAAAGGTCAGGGCAAAGGTCGAGGTAGACAAGCCGCTGGACATCTGCAAGGCGGAGGGAGGTCTCTGGTACGGGGAACCCCAAGAAGAAGTCTCCGTTTGTACCCAAGACATCACATCATCATCTCCAGCCGCCACTGGCGCCTTGGGAACCTCAAGCTGTTCGTGTTCTTCTACTGGGACGACTGACGGCGGTCCGATGTCTCCAGTCCATGATGGCAGCGTCCAAGCATGTGTCCACGAGGGCCAGACGACAGTGCGCATGCGGCCTTGCTTGAGGATGCCCATGTCCACCAACTCGCCGATGAGGCTGCGCAGTTTGCGCACTATGCGGGGGTTCACGAGAGATGGGTAGTCGCTATTCTCGTGGATGCAGTTGAGCTTCGCAAGCAGGCTGTTCATTCCGTCGTGTTGACAGGTGCGAGAGTCGAGCTTGTGGGTTGCCAAATGGGCGTACATTGACCGGGTCGCCCCAGGGCACCATTTGATGTGTCCCTTGTTGCCCACGTGGAGGTGCTCGAGACTCACGTTCTCGACAACCTGTAATCTCCCAGTCAGTCCAAACGAAAAGCAGACAAGACTGACTACAGGCAGGGCGCAATTACCGTGGCGGTGTTGCCTCGACACATGTTGATGGAACAGAGCGAGAGCAGCAGAGATTGTTACTCCCGCGCTGAGGTGTGGCACTGCGACCTCAAGGGCTCTTCGAGAAGATTGCAAGAGGAATTGCTGTGATTGACTTGTGGTGAAAGTATGCTGAAGGCCTGATCCAGAAGACTACGGCTGCTGGGCGAGAGCAAGTGTGGATGGCAGAGGAATGTAGCTGGCGCATGTTGGCAAACAAGGAGACCGTCGGCCAGACCGTCTTCAGATTCGTGCCCCGCCCTTAGCATGCAGCGAGCATGCAGCGAGGAGAGCAGTTCGTGAGATGTGGAGCATCGCGGAAGGCTGCATAGACGCAGGTTCATGCGGGCCAACCGTCTGCTTGGTCCAGCAGAGCAGGGACTTGCGGAGCGGACCCACCCCGCTGGACTGCAGGCTGATTCAGAGAGGAGAGATGAGGAATCGCCGGCGATGAGCTGGTTCATCTGTCTCGGTCGGTCGTGGTGAGAAGAGTGTCGGTGAGGTTATGGGAGGAAGGAGCTGGATGGAGGGCACAGCTGGGCAGAGGACAGAGAGGACGTAATCCCGACGCCCAAGCCTGCACCAGCCATACACCACACAGTGGTCACAGGTGTGTCAGCGGCACCACTGCCACAACCGCCACAACACCACTGTCACAACCATCATCGCCATCACCGCTGCCAACTTCAACAACTTCCATTCGGGTTTCTCGCTGGATGCGGGAGACCCCACCGGCGAACATCTCTTGGACTTCTCGCTTGATGCGCGAAACCCAATCGCCGACTATCCATTCGGATGTCTCGCTGGATGCGGGACGTCTGACCATTAAGCATTGCACTCCCCTCCCCAGGGCCAACAAAAAACCATAACCTACCCTACTGACCTGTACCCAATTAACCAACTTGCAGCGCACACATTAAAAAAACCACCGGCGAAAGCTGGTGATCCCTGGGGAGGGGAGTCGGACCTTGGGTCCATACCTACAGGGCAAGAGGCCAGAAGGGGCTAAGGGGTTGGGAGGGGAGGAGGGCACTTGAGGGGGAACCTGTTTGTATGCTGAGACACCAATAAACCACCAATGTGCGCCAGACGCAGACGGCTAGCTGCATTCAGGTACACAGTGCAGTGCACACAATCATAATACTGACTTCAGAAAACCAAAGACCAAAATGGAAACTATTGGAAGCGTCATTGTGGCAATCTCTGAAGGAATGGGTTGCTTGCCTTGTTGAGTTCGTCCAGGCAGGTGCCATTAGGGAAGGAAGGAGTAGGTGTCTGGCCTCGGTTGTAGTTATCTCTTTAGGGGGAGTAACCACAGTATTTGATCCTTCTGTTAATTTAAACGTCAGTTGGTCTAGTTCCTTCCTTTCCTTTCGCTTTGATCTTAGGGATATCCTGCAGATTCAACATAAGGATGATGAAGTTCAGCCAGTACGCCCCCCATCTTCCCCCCTTCATCGCCAACCAATTGAGTTGTCACTCAGCCGATAAGAGCTGAGGCAGTCAGCAACACCTGCTGGAATAAGACCGGCAGCTTTCTGGCCAACTCAACCAGCAACGTTCCATTCGCAAAGGGGGATGTTCGCTCCAAAATCTCAACCTCCACTGCGAGTCCAGCCACTCTAGAAGGGCAGTCTCATGACAATCGCTTCCGGATCCAAATGCGCCTTGTAATTCGGCCTGAGTTCACTGTGCGAACTGGTGCAGGCCCAGACTTGAGCGCTGCCTTGCTACCTTCCTACCTTTCTGGTGTTTCTTCAATTGCAGACTCCACTTTCAATGCGCGATCGGAAGGAGCGGTCGATGTCTGCCTTCTGGATGGAGGACAAGAGGCAAGAACAAGTGCAACAAATGCTCATTCCCAGTCAATCAATATGACGATGCATCAACAACCCCACATCGTCCAAAATCCATCTCAAACACCGTACCATCAGCCTTGCCGATATCCAACCCATCAGTCTCGTTACAGGCACACATCTTTGATGCGAACATGGCTCAACCCAATCGAAGCTTTCATCACCTCTTTAACTCCGAGGCAGGCCAAGGCATTCATCAACTCTTCAATTCCGGCGCGGAACAAGAGACACTCCGCGACCGGCAACCACACCGTCTATACGAGGACGAGTTTGCGAGCAATTACAGTTAAATCGAATGCTCCACACAGGCCAATCATTTCATACCTAAACCACTAAGTCCCGTCAACTTTCCACATCCTGTCAACGATGGCAGACATCTGGCCCCCATTAACCCTGGCCTGCAACATCCCGAGCCAGAAGTGCTCTTTTCAATGCATAGGTTCCAGGGCACCGACGAGGCAACGGCATGCGGATCGTCGTCGGACGAACCATACGTGAACGACTTCCCACAATCGTATGTGTCCATGAATGGCCCCAACACCAGCGATTCCAGCAATGCCTAGCCGCGGAAACTTCAGCTGACTGCCCCCTCTCCTAGAGAAAATCGAGACGGACAACGGTATGGCGAGGAAAATACTGGGCTGCAGCGCGGAGGTGGGAATGGAATACGCGTGCGGGGATGCCTGATAGATGAGAGGAGAGACCCAGAGGAGTCATTGAAACCAATGAGAGCCGATATTTTACCTCGCGTCTGATACGGCTCCATTATCATGCGGAACGCTTTCTGGTCGAAAAGCAGTCGGTATGTTCTCAGCGGAGCACTGAGAAAAAATTTTCAGGGAGCTAAAGAGCTAGAGCATAACACTCCCTAGTAGTATATTTCAGCATGAACTACTATACCAAGTCCGTAGCGTGCCACCAAGGTGGCTTGCCTATTGCTAAGCTTACATCCCATTTGATTGCTCACATTTGCTTCTTTACTACCAATCATCTAGGCTACCTCATCCCATTAGAGAAACGGCTTGTTTATGCGGAGTCCTTACCCCTGCTTTCCATTGGCGTCCACCCAAATTTCATTTCTAGAGAGTCAAGATCCCTTATGCTATCTCAACTATCTAGGCAAATAGGAAGCCCTCATCCTTTATCTTCCCACCCACCGCTGACCTAATAATAACTAGCTATCTCTGCTACCTCGAGACTAAAAGCATATAAGACGATTACCAGGCTTCCCATCTATAATATCATACTTAACGCATCACCATGCCACTTGTGGGCTTTTGCCGCCGTTCGGCTCACCCCGGCAGGTCTGCACCAACCAACATCTAACAGTGTGATTTCCATATGCCCCGTGCCATGAGTTTCCCAGCCCTGGGGAAATTCATTATTTTCGACAATTTGGTCAGCTTCTATTACGCTTACAGCGCCAATCATGCCGGTCTTCTCAACCAGACCCTTGAGGATGCTCTCCCTGATATTGAACACGGAATCTCAAACACCAGACTGCTTCGGTGCCTGCCTAAAGACGTTGCCTCTCCAAACGGTCACGCCAGCCCTCACCCCTGGACCTATCAAACCTGTTGAGACGTCGGCCACTAACCACACCAACGCCAAACTCACCGCGAAGAAGGTTGTGGAGAAAATCAGGAGCCAGAGAAGACGATCGAACTCTCATGCACTGTGCTATGACGCCTCATCAGGCGCCGCCGCCAGGCTCCACCAGCCAACACCCTTCCCAGCTCCCGCTCCCAATCTTGCTCCCGCCTACATGAAACTTGTGTTTTGCCATGCATGTCGTCTCCGTCGCATCCGAGCCTGCTGGTCTCCTCCTCTCCTCAATATCCCCATTCCTTTACCTTCTGCTTAAGTCTCACCAGAAAGCCGCAAAACCAAAGCGTCAAATCCGCTTCTGGCCCCAATACTCCGGATGTCGTGAAAATCATCGTCGAGTTTTCCAGTCAGGCAACCTGACCAGTTGATTCTTCCAATGCTTTCAAATATGTTAAGTCTGTCGACTCAACTGAGTCTGTGAACTTGGGTCGCACACATATTACTCCTTTGTGGACGACCAACATGCAACGCTCCGAATGCTGGCCAAAACGAACAGCTATGCTGCCATGCCACTCAGTGGACAAAACCCCACAAGATTCTTGTCCCGTATAAAATCAAGTCTAATCCTACATTATCGACCGTTCTCTCTGTCCGTTGGCCATAAACTTCGACGGGAAGACACGTCACGAGTGCGGGTCTCTGGCTTCCTGTGGAAGATGCTCTGCGGAGACAACAACGTCCCTGGAGAGTGCCACGCTCCGTCGTGTGGGACCATTACTTCCCCAAAGGTGACCCCGAATACCTGCCGCCTGACAAAGAAAGTCTCTTGACGGCCAGGAATTCTTTCACTGAACTAAGGAGAATCAATCGCCAATCACGGACTACAATCCACACGTAGATATTTCAGCTTGTGCTTCCCTCCGAAGTTCGCCGAGACAGCCAGGAGTAATCAGTTTGGAACAAGCCTGTCTGTGACATCTGTTGAACAAGGGGGTGGCGGCAGCTTTGGCAACAGCGGAACAATATTATAAACCTCGATATTTCCCCGTCAAAGTCATACGGCAGTCAAAAGGGGGCGCCCACAACTGTCAAACTGTGAGGGAAAAGGTTAGAAGTGATGAAGATTGCGAACAATCACGCAGTTTCACTCACGAATCAGATGCCGCCCTATCATCTTAGACTCAGTCCTCCTCGGCTGTGTCACGGACGACTTCGCCTTTATTATCAGCTGACGACATATCCACAACCAGAATGCTCAGTTGATGGTTCTCTTGAAACATTCCATAGTGTTATTCACATTCCTGTTAAAGCAAGCTCATCGCTGACAATACTTGGGACGCGTCGTGGAATTAACAATGACGAAGGCCTCAACTTGTTCGTCACCGGCCGCCGGGATAAGATCAGTGTTCCCTAAGAAGCATATGTCCGCTTCATGGGATACTTTAGGTTGCCCATTACATAACTTGAACTCCACCGTTGCATTCGATCGATTCTTCTAACTCGCCGTGGCCTATAAGAGACACGACGAGGATACCTTAAACATTACCCTCGCCGTAAATTTCTACGATGCCCTCGGTACAAAAACGTTATAGACTTCTCAT